GAAATTTGAGTTAACATGAAAAAGCAAAAGAAAACTAATTGTAGTATTAAATTTAGTAGTACCTTTTGCCGTTTATTGCTTCTATTCTTCTTTAAAAAAGATGGAAAAAAATATATATATGCTTAGCGTAAAAAAATAATTTTTTTTATTGAAATGTATTTTAAGTGAAAAACCCATTTAGTTTTGTATTGTACAGTTTTTGTTGTGTTCTAATTTTAGTAGTTTTTTTTACTTCTTTAATTTCATTACAAAATCACAAATATACACAAAAATATTAAAACTGAATATGAAGAATACTTTATTCAAAAGCTTTAATGGTAAATCAATAATAATTATATAAAAAAAATTAATGATAAATGGTCATATTTATAATTATAATTACGTGGTTGTATAGGAGTATAATTCTATTGTTAATTGGATATTCATATTAATTATAATATGTGGTGAGTTAAAAAATTCCAATGTCAAAAAAAAGATAATTTTTTTTCAAAATAATTATAAATTAGTTTGTGAATACTTTTTTATCCTAAACAAATCTACCCAATCTAATCTAATGTGACACCTAACCTAATCACAATAATATCTATTTGTCGCCTACGTTGCTCGACACTTGGCGAAAAATTAAAATGTCAAGTGTCACTATCTCGTGGCCTGGCTACGAGATCAGCTTTATATATTAGTGACATAATATGATTATTATTATTATATGATTACCAATAGGACAATGACATCCTTCTCTTTGGGGCTTGGCCCTCAAGTTCACCCCCCCCCAAAAAAAAGGAAGCTAATTGCCAAATTAGCCTTTTATGTTACATAAGATTTAAGCTAATCTTCCAAAATAATTTATTTTTCGATTATTCCTAAATAATCCAATTTTTCGTATCCATTTACTTCTAGAAGAAAATCAAAAGGAAGAATTATTTTGAGAAGAATTGAACAATAATTAGATTATTCTAGAAAAAATTTTCTAAACAAATTTGTTTATTAATACTCCCTCTGCCTCCTTACTTTTGTCTCATAGGTATAATGTTAGCTTTATTAATTTTGGGTTATGTAAAATTGGTGAAAAAGAATAATGGTTGTCCAATTTTTTTTTTTCAATATATGCCTATATAGTATGAAGCCAAAAAAAGATATTGGTGAAGCAAATATTAAGGGGACGGAGCCACGAAGGGAGTACTGATTCCTTAAAAATGAAAAGCTAAGAACTCTTCAGTGCACGTTGACGGTCACTATAGATAATATGTTAATATTTTTTTTTTTATATAGAAACTTTAGGGCGGACTTATATTAAAATATTTTCCACCAAAGTTAACACACTTTGGACAAAAACGCTCATATAAACTAATTAGGGGTGAAAGTTCGGTATTCGGTTTGGATTACACCCCAAACCGAATCCAAACCGAATTATTTCGGTTTCGGATTTTTGAAACCGAATCCAAACCGAATTTGGATTCAATCCAATCCAATCCAAACCGAAATAATTCGGTTTTGAGAATTAAATCCAATCCAAACCGAATTTTTATGGGCTGCTGTATTGGGCCTTAAAATCTGGGCTTTTTATTGGGCATATAATTTTGGGCCTTTTAAGGCCTAAATTTTGTACCTGTTCCTGAACAAAATTAAAGCATAAATTTTAACATACAACTTTCACAAGTCACAACCATATGCCATACTGCCATAGTAACTAAATTGTCCAGCCATACTGTCATAGTAATTAAATACACTTACACATTGTCCACATTGAGACATAAGAACTTAACAAGTCTTAAAACTATCAAAACAGTCCACATGATGAATTGATAATAAAACAGATAAACAGTCCACAAATGAACTAGTTCAACCAACAAGGCAGCTTCATTCTTAGGCTCTTGGCAGAAACTTCAAGTCTTCAATCAATAGGGCAGCTTCATTCTTGGAAGCTAACTCTCAATCAAGCTCAACCAAGTCCGGGTTTTGACCACCAATTGTCATATTCCTCAAGTCTAATAACATTAAAAAAATAAACAAGTTACATAATATATATGAAATAATGAAAAAAAATAACATGATAATTGTTGTTTTATGTTACCTTCTTCAAGATCTTCAACTTCTTGTAAACACTCTTCTATATTAGGAAAGGGAGAAGAACGTAGCCAATTTTGAGCACAAACAAGTCCTTCAACGACCCTTGGAGTTAAGGAGCTCCTAAATGGGTCTAGAACCCTACCACCAGTGCTGAATGCACTCTCAGAGGCTACTGTTGAGATAGAGACAACAAGTATATCACGGGCCATTCTTCCAATTGTTGGAAACCTAGCACTATTAAACTTCCACCACCCCAAAATATCAAAATTTTCACATTCCTCCTCCGTTTCCTCTTTTAAATATTTGTCTAACTCAATTTTTGCTTCTCCATCTTTCTCACACTTATGTTTCTTATACTTACTCTTCAATACCTGAAGCTTCTTTTGTTTGGGAGAAAATTGGGAACTGTTCATACTTGAGGACACTTCCTCCCTAATCACATCACCAGAAGAACCACGATACTCCTCATACAATGCATTCAAAGACTCTTTCAAATTATTCACCAAAACAAATGCATGCTTAGAATCATAAATTTCAATTAACATCCACTCAACATAATCTAACTTATAACGAGGATCAAGCACAACAACAATAAAAATCAGCATGTTCATTTTCTCCGGATCACCCCAATATTTGTCATATTTCTCCTTCATTTAAGTAGCCATAAGACACATCTCCACATCATCATTTGTCATCAAATCTTTCAAAAGGACAGCAACACTCACCAATTCATGGAAAAATAAATTGGAAGTCACATGCAAAGACCCAGAGACACGCAACGTAAGATCATAAAAGACTTGTAAAAATTCAGAAAACCTTCTGACTGTTTCCCAATCCTCAGAAGTAGGGCAGCCCTTCCCCTCCCTCTCATTTAACTCAATCACATAATGAGGGTCCTCCTCAGAGTACCTCTCAAAAGCATACTCAAACACCAAAGCAGCATCCAACATTAAAAAGGTGGAATTCCACCTAGTAGGCACATCAAGGCACAACAACTTTTTAAAGTTGATTTTTTCTTCCACAACACATTTTTTAAACCTTACCAACCTAGAAGGGGATTGTTTGATGAATCTTACAGCTTGTCTCACACGAGTAATAGACTCATTAACAATTTTCAAGCCATCAGACACAACCAAATTCACAATATGAGCAACACAACGCATATGAAGGAACCGACCCTTAAGAACCCCAGCTTTCCAACCATTTATTTTCCTTCTCATATATCCTATTGCGGTATCATTTGAGCTAGCATTATCAACAGTTATGCAAAATACTTTCTCAAGTTCCCAATCAAGCAAACATTTCTCAATTTCTTTCCCAATTTCCTCCCCCTTATGACTTGATATAGGACAAAAATTCAGAATACGTTTTTGCAAATTCCAGTCATTATCAACAAAGTGAACAGTCAAGCACATGTAATTAATTTGCTGAATAGATTTCCATGTATCGGTTGTTAATGAAACCCTTGAGTTACACTTTTTTAATACCAATTTCAGCTTTCTTTTTTGAGTTAAAAAAGTTTCATAACAATCTTTAGCCACAGTAATTCTGGAAGAGACATGAAATCTAGGCTCCATTACATTACAAAATTGTTTAAAGCCTACTCCCTCAACAAACTTAAAAGGCAATTCATCAACTATAACCATCTCAGATAAAGCTTTTCTAATTACAGTTGGATCATATTTCACATAAGACAATCCACTAGTACAACCACTTTCAATTTTATTGCTTTTGAAAGACAACAAACTTTGTTTTGATTCTTTAGGAGTATTATAGGGGTAATTACGACATCTATTTATATGAGCCCACAATGGACTAGTGCCATTTCTCTTTGTACCACACTTGTATCACATACCACAGTACTTGCAACGTGCTTCCACTCCAGTGTGTGTTTCTTCCTTGATAAAGTGCTCCCAAACCTCGGAACGATCCTTCATTCTCTTCCTCTTGGGTTTGGATTTTTCATTGTCAGATTCATGCTCCTCAATAGGGACATTCCCTTCAACATTATCCATATTTGTGGACATTCTGATAATCTGATTTAAAACAGAAAAAAGAACTCACTCAACAACCAACAATTTTTATGAAAATCTATGAAAAACAATCAATCTATAAAAAAAAAACATGCAATTCGAGCATAATACTATAATAGAACAACATATATTCTGAACTCTGAAGGAATATCAGCAATTCGAGCATAATACAATTCGAGCATAATAACTATTCAAAGAAAACAATCTATCACCAATTCGAAAATAACAAAGAAAACATGCAATTCGAGCAAGAAAAGAGAAGTGCAAGTGAAATCTGAAATTCAAAATAACAAAGAAAACATGCAATTCGAGCAGGAAAAGAGAAGTGAAATATGAAATATTGAAATTAAAGCATACCGGAACACTCGAAAAGGTGGTCAGCGGCGGCCGGCGTTGGAACACTCGAACGGAACACAGGTGGTAAGTAGGAAAGCAGTAAAGCAAGAAGTAGTGAGGTGGTGGATTGGTGGTGGTGGACGAACGGAGTGAGGTGGTGAGAGGGAGAGATGAGGGAAAATCTAGGGTTTTAGTGAGGGAAAGAGAAACGGCTGACTGAAACTCTGAAAGGGAAAAGGGAAAAGAGGGAAATTATTTAGGGTTTGGGTATATATATGTAGGAAAATGGGCTGAGATAATTGGGCTTATAAATTTCGGTTCGGTGTTCGGTTTTCGGTTTTTAAAATCCCAAAACCGAATCCAAACCGATATAATTCGGTTTTCATTTTCTCAAACCGATCCAAACCGAAAACCGAACAAAACCGAACCGAATTGCTTATTCAGTTCGGTTTGGTTCGGTTTTCGGTTTTTATCCAAACTACTTTCACCCCTAAAACTAATTCATTGTTATCACAAGTGTCCCATCTAGCTATTAAATGAGCCATCGTATTCCCTACACGTGTCTTAAAAAAGAAAAAAAAAAAGCTTGTAAATATCATCAATCAATAAAAAAAGGAGAGATCGGCCTTGTGCATTGTTGTTGATCCTCTTTGTGACATTGAGAGAGTCACTCTCAACCCAAACACTGCTATACCCCAGCCTCCTAGCAACTTGTAGACCATATCGAACAGCGGCCGCTTCAGCATGATCAACCTCCCAATCCCCTGAGAATTTACGGACTGCAGCAACCAAAAGCTCACCCTGACTATTTCTGATCGCAGCTCCTATTGTAGTGTACCCATTAGCAAGGTGGGCATCCATATTGATCTTCGCTGTTCTAGCAGGAGGGCAATTCCATCTTGAGATCAGACCTGTTTCCACCATATTGGCCTTGTTGAAGACCTTATGCGCGTAGCCATTGTACTCCATTACATTCTTTACAAAGGTTGTAGCCGTGTAATTAGCATTCAGTGATCTGTTCTCAAATAAGAGCTTATTTTTGCAGAACCAAATTGCCCAAACCATAGCCAAGAGACGAGACAAGTGTGCAGGTTCGAGCTTCCTAGACAACCACAAGAGCCTTGATTTAAAGGAGACAGTAGGAGCATCTTCAAGTAAGGATGAAAAATCGCTACCATCCCATACTGTTTTTGCTGCACTACATTCGAACAAGACATGATTCATAGATTCAATCTCAACCCCATAGCCTACACAAAGCTCATTAGGTGCTATGTGGCGATGAAATAGCAGCTCTTTCACAGCAAGGTTGCCACGGCATGCCCTCCATACAAAGTGGTTTAACTTAGTGGGCCTGTTAGACTGCCACACCACACGCCATATTTCCCTATCCTCGTCAGTAAGCTGAGTGGCAGCTTCATCAAGATGGCCTAAACGCCCCAGCCAATAGCCAGACTTGACTGAGTACTCTCCCGTCTTTGAGGGCCACCAAAATAGCTCGTCATTTTGTTGATGGATTGCAATAGGAAGTTGCAAAATTTTGTTGCTGTCAGAATCAGAGAAGAGAGATTTGATTAGAGGCACATTCCATTCCCTACACTCGCTGAAGAGTAAGTCTGCCACTTTCAATTTCGGATTATAATTGGGACCATGTGATGGGACAGCAGTAGAAGGTTTTCCAAGGTAGCCAAGAGTTAAGCCAAACACGAATATTTTCACTACAAGAAAATTGTCTTTTCGTAGCGATTATTTCATAGCGATTTTATATTCGCTGCAATATGCACATATGTTTGTGAAATAGTAGTGGAATCCGTATTATTTTACAATCGACATAGTAAACCCATATGAAATCGATACGAAAAACATAATAATATTTATTTACCATTTTTATGCACATTTATAAAATTATGGAAAAGCGTATCGTTATAATCGCTACTAAAACCCAAAAATCAATACGAAAAACCTTTTTTATACTAGATTTTAAATTTTTGTTTGACAAAGAGAACATAAAATATGTCATAGCTTCTTGGATATACATTTAATATTACAGCTTGAGGTTGTATGTTCGAATCTTGTATAGATCATATGTAGGGATTTTTTTTTGTGGTAGAAAATGATTTTTTGGTAGAGAATGAGTTCAACATTTGTAGCGAAAATGAGTTCAACATTTGTAGCGATTATAATCGCTACAATAATCACCATGATTGAATGTTGTTTTCCATATCGATTAATAAGGACAACCTCAGCGAAAGCGAAAAACACTACTAAAAGCTATGGCAACGGCGGATATTTTATCGAATAACCATTCGTTGAGATTTGTTTTGTAGCAATTACAATCGATACGAAATGTTAAAATAATCGCTACAAAAAGGTATTTTTCTTGTAGTGTTTGACCATTGTCCACTCTCCATTTAACCCCATAAAGAATTAATGATTTCGACCCCCAAATGCTCCTCCATGAGTAGCTTATTGGGCCATACCCTCTATAGCCTCAAGAACCGGGCAATGTTGAAGTAACGGGCCTTTAAGATAGAGTGCATGAGAGAGTTGGGCATAGTATGTAAACTCCACATGTGTTTGGCAAGAAGAGCTTGATTGAACACCTTAAGATCACGGAATCCCAGTCCTCCCATAGATTTGGGTTTGCAAAGAGAATCCCAAGTATGCCAATGCATTTTCCTCGTTGATCCATTCGTACCCCACCAAAAACAAGCAAATAGTGCATGAATCTCATCAATCAACCCATCCAAAATCTTGAAGATGCTCATCATGTAGGTCGGGATGGCTTAGGCTACGACTTTTATGAGGACTTCCTTCCCGGGTCTTGAAAGCAATTTCTCCTTCCAACCTTGTATTACATTCCATACTCTTTCTTTCAAGCCTGCAAAAATCGCCTTTTTTAACTTACCAATTATTGTAGGTAAACCAAGATATTTTTCATGTTTCTCTACTTCCTTAACACCTAGAATATCCACAATTTCCTTTCTCCAGGCTGCATTTACACATTTGCTAAATACGACATTGGTTTTGTTTAAATTGAACTGTGACCAGATGCTCTCTCATAAGTGTTGATAATGTCAGTTATCAAAGAACATTCACTAACCATCGCCTTAGCAAATAAAATGTTATCATCTGCAAAGCATAAGAGAGAAATTCTAGGGGCCCCATTACAAATTTTTGCAACATGAATACGGTTCTCATTTGCAGCTTTCGATAACAAAGTGGAAAAAGCATCAGCAACAATTAAGAACAAACAAGGAGAAATTGGACCCCCGAGTGACCGAACTTGAAATGCAGCCATTGACCTTGAAAGAGAATGACACACTAGATTAGCAATCCATGATCCTTAGAACCCAACTGTCACTGAACCCCATTTTATACATAACTCTTTCAAGAAAGACCCATTTCACCTAGTCATATGCCTTGCTCATATTAAGTTTTATCGCGATTGACCCATCTTTACCCCCCCTTTCCTCTTCATAGCATGGATAAAGCATTGTCCATAAATAACCTTTTCGGGATAAAAGCACTCTGATTGATTGAGATAATTTTATCCAAAAAAGGCTTCAGTTTATTGGCCATTACTTTCGAAATTATTTAATAGAGCATATTAAAACAACTTTTTAAATTTAGTCATATATTTCGGTTTCTCACATTTAGGAATTAAGTCCACACAAGTTCTGTTAACCTCATGCAAATCCACATTTCCACCCCACCAATTTTTCTCAAAGCATACAATCGATAACGTATTCCGAGGCTAAGGCTGTGCGTTGCAACGTGCTGTGCGTGCTTGCTAGCGTAGCAGCACGTCACTGCGTGTTCTAGCGCTATGTGCGTGTATGGCTAGCGAGCAAGGCCAGGCACCAGCACCTAGCAAGCAAGGCCAGGTACCAGCGCTGAGCATGCATAGTGTGCCTGCTGCGTGTGTGCGTAGGCTGGCTGGCCAGCAAGCCCAGCTTTGGTGCTAGGCGCCAGCTGGGCAGTCTTGGCAGCCAAAGCAAGCTGCCAGCCAGCCACATGGGATATCCGGTTTTGGGCTAGTGGGGACCAAGGCTTGGAGCATTGCCTTGAGGAGCAAGGCCATGGTCCCCCCCTTGGAAATGGTCCTTACCTAACCAATCATCCTCCATGTGCCACTTGTTGATTGTTGATTGCATTGTTTATTAATTTATTTTTGATTAAAATCAATTAGTAGGAAAATGCAATTGTCCCACATTGATCATGAATGGGATGACAAGTTGATTTTCCCTATAAATACCCAATGGTTGGGCATTTGGGAAGACACTTGAGTAGAACTCAATGAGGCATCTCCCTTAAGGTGAGAAAACATCTAAGTTCGTAAAACTCCAGTTTTTTTATTGGTCGGGTCCCGACTAACCTTCGGGACTTGGACCGTTCGGGTCGGGTTCGTGGGTACGAGCCATTGGAGGCGTTCACACTTGTGACGCTCGAGCTTTCGAAGTAAGAGCTCGATTTGCGAGCGAAGCACGCATCAAAGGTATAATCTTTTATCCTTTCTTATGCTTTTAATTATGTTTTGCTTGTTAATTGCTTTCATTATGGGGGCGGGTCTTGGCGGGTTTCATTCCGCGTAGTGTGGGTCACTACGAAACCCAACAGCGGTATCGGAGCCACGCTCCTTTTAATTTTTGCAATTATTTAGTAATTAAGGTGTTTTATGTAAGATTTAATTTCTGGTTTTGCTTTTCTAATTAGATTAGAAGCTCGTTTTAATTAATTTTAAAACTCGTATTTTTTCTTGATTTAGCTGTCGAACCCAGGTTTTTGCTCAAAAATAATGTGTTTTTTGGGTGGAATCGACATTCAGGAACAGATTCAACCCTTTTAGGACTGTCCAGAAGCCAAATTCGAACCAGAAATCCAAGTGTTTGGGGTTTTTTCGTTTTTAACCAAAGTTTTAAATCTTTAAGCCTTGATTAATGCAAGCATTTAAAGGGTAGATTAAATGCATTTTGCATCCCTAATATACTGTTTTTTTTAATTATCCTTAAGCATAATTATGGAGTTTTAATTAGTTCTTAAGTAGATATGCTCTATTTCACATAAACTTGTTTTTCACAAATTATGCAAATAAATTGCATTAATGTGTGAATGTTTGATGTGAATGTGTAATTTTATGTTCCCAAGTATGTTAAAGATCTAATCTTTAAATGTTTAAATGATTGGAACTCTAACCCTAAATTCCACATTGAACAAAATTTGGATTTTTTCATTTTGGTTGATTAAAATCCATGAATTTCAAATACTTGTGAGTAAAATTTTGATTAATCTTCATATTGGAAGATGTAATCTTGTTATTTTACACAAGTATGAAAGTTGGAAAAACTTTATCATTAGATGGTTAATTTATTTTTCCAACTCCCATTTGTCAAATCCATTATTAATTTGCATTTTGGTTAAATTAATTATGGATGTAGCCCTTCAATTTTGTTGCATCAAGTTAGACCTAAAATTGATTCAAAGAATGGTTCTTGAATAATTTAGGCTTGTGCACTATTAAAATTGAATTTATTTAAGTTAGACTTGTTATATTTTCACTTTGCTCTAAATTAATTCTAAAATAAATTTAGAATTAATTTTATCTCACACGAATATTGGGATTAAAATCCTGAGTCAAAAGCGCACAAATCGAGGCAAAAGACACCCAAGCACCACCAAGGCTAGCCGGGCTGCTCTCGCAGGGCACATGTGGCTGCCTTGATGCGCATGGTGGTGCTCCCACCTCGCTGTGTTACTGCTGTGTGGGGAGCAAGCATAGTGCACCAAGCGTGCTGCTGTGTGTGGTGTGTGGCTGTTGGGCACTGCTTGCAAGTGCTGCTAGGCAGCGAGGTAGCAAGCCACAGCAGGCCAGCCACACCTACCAGCACACATGCGCGCATGCAAGCATGATGTGTGCTGGTGCTAGCAGGCGCAGCAATGCCTTGCTAGGCAGGCTGCCTGCGCCCAAGCACAGCACAGCAGCAGCCATGATGCTAGGCCTTGGTTTTGTGTGGGATATTTTTGGATGCATGGGCTATGTAATTTTTGCGAAAATTTTGCCGTTTTAA